TGTACAGAGAAACTGTCGCTGCTGAACACGGCAGAACACCTGTTACACACCTGAACTCACGGGACCAGGGTCTGCATGCTTAAGACCCACACAAGACTGAGCCAGAAGCCAGTCCAAGCCCAAGTGTGGACGCGTGAGGGGCTCATGAAGCCCACCCCTAGCTGAGAAGCTGTTGACAACTGATGGCCGATGGGGGGGTAGGGACTTTTCCAGGAATGTGGCCTAGGCTCCAGTAGGTGGTCCTGTGGCCACACACGTGCAGTCAGGACTACGTGCCCTAAGTAGGTTTTAAAACAAAGCACAGGAACCTGAGAGGAAAAAGTGGTAGGGGGCAGACAGGGAAACTGGAGGGGAGAGAACCAGGGGGATTCGATCAAAACAAGTCACTTACATATATACGCATACATAAAACCCTCCAACAGTTAAATAATGATGTAGCTGAAGAAGTCCACTCTCCCACAAAGAGAATATATTCAGTTTGATTCTGTAAAACCACGATGTAACATGTCTGGGGACAGAAAGCAGACCAGGGACTCAGGAGCAGGGCTGGGAAGGTGAGGCAGGGTGGATTAAAAGGATCCACAGATCTTAGGGGTGGTGGACACCTGTCCCTGTGACTGTGGAAATGGCCTCACAGTACATACATCAAAACAGCCCAGAGCACACTTGGGACCCCAGCACTCTGACGGATGGCTCTGAAGCGAAAGGCCAGCTAGATAAGACTGTCTCAAAAGTGAAAAATGTGGAGGGGCTTGGGTCGGAGACCTATAACAGCCCATCTGTTCCAAGCCACAAAGTCAACCCTAACGTCTGTCAGCTGTTTCGAAAGACATAATTTGGCTATCAGGGCAGGGATGGAGTAATTCCCAACAAGCACTAGGTGACGACAGGGAACGCCACTGAACAGTAAAAGCTCTTATCTGCCTTGCAGAGGACAGCATTCCATCAGCCTGCTCGCTTCATGAGCATAGTTCGGTCCTAAACCAGCAAACTTTGTAGCTCAGACTGTAATGATGGTAACCGCTGGTAAATCAGTAAACACCTGCCTAGTATCTCTCTCACTTTTCATCCGGACAAGAGCCACAACATTTGTGTTTGTGTACATATGTGCTTGTGTACGCACGTGTGTGCTAAAGACGGACGGCAGATGTCTTCCTTGATTATTTTCCATCTTGTTCTGAGATAGAGACTATGTGGATACAGCTAAAGGTGGTTCTGCAGCAGAGGAAGACTCGTGGGTGGAATGAAGAACTCGCGCAGTAAAGGCAAAGCATGGGCTCTAAAGTTGCTTGGCAGTCAATTCTGTTTCTCTGTGTAATAGCCCAGGTTGTCCTGCACTCACTTTGTAGACCAGGCTGCCCCCAAACTCTGCCTGATTCTTCCTCCCAAGTGCTACGACCAGAGGTGTGCGCTGCTGTGCCTAGCTGTTTCCAGACTTTTTAGACGGTCACTGAGTTCAGTCCCTTGTCCTCTGCGACAGGCTCAGACCACTCAGCAAGCCACTTTTAGATCTGTAAGGCATGACAGAATTGGGCTTTCCTGCTGCACTGTGTAGCTCTGCCTCGCTTCTGAGCAATGTAAGTTTCCTTTTACCCTTGAGGGGGTTCCTGTAGTGTTCCCAATCAAAATAAAAATTTTTGTGACTTCCACAAAGATTGTTTTTCCCTGACACATGCCTCTAGAGTAGAAAAACAGGTTTATATAAGGTTCAATTAGGGCCAAATACAGTATAAATGGTCTCATTAACAACTAATGTTAACATACGGAAAACTGGACACTACATTGTAGAAACACCAGCTTTCATGGTCTTACTGCAACACACAAGGGCAGGGTGGCTTTTCCGGGGGCAGGAGAAGCTCAGCACCTGGACGCTAGAGGAGGTGCAGTGTGATCTGGCCTGTGGCAACAACTCTGGAGAATGAATAAAGCTCTTTTATAATCCCACCTCCAGTTGGATCCACTTGATGAACGGTAGGAAGTTTATAATCTTTCCCTAAAGAAACAAAACCTGCCGATGTGACCTGATATTCACTGAGAAGTAACAGGCAGACATATGGTTTTTGTTCAGAAAACAAAAACTTAAATCAATTAAGTAGAAAAAGATTTCCCTTCCTCTTTCAAAGCAAACAGAACAGACCATTCAAAGCTCTTTAAGACAAAGACCAAGCTCGACATGATCTGGAGCACAACTTTACTCCCAGCACTTGGGAGGCAGAGGCAGAAAGATCTCTTTGAGGCCTGAGGTCCAGGACGGACGTTCTGTGTCAAAACGTAGGGGTGGGAGGGAGTAGCCTGGAGAGATAAGAGATGGCTCAGTGGTTAACTGGGCACATTGTTCTTGCAGAGGACCCAAGTTTGGTTCCCAGCATCCTTTTCAGACATCTCACAATGACCTGTAGCCCCAGCTGGAAAGGATCCAATGCCTCTGGCCTCCCAGAGAACCTCCACTCATTTGTATGTGCTTATGCACACAAGCACATAAATAAGAATAAAACAAATCTTAAAACAACCACAACAAAGACCAAAGCCTTTCAACTCACTGAGTATGAATTAGGAGCTAATAATAAAAAGAAAAACATTGTTAGTCCAAAAGTCCAACAGGTATTTGTTGCTGAGCAAAGACTGTAAGGAAAAAACATCTTCGTATTGTTACAGAACCCAACACACACACACACACACACATACACACACACACACACACACACACACACTAAATGAGATTTCTTTTTAATGTAAAGAATCTGGCTGGAGAGATGGTGTAGTGGTTCAGAGCGTGGTGGCTCACAACTGTCTGTAACTCCAGCTACAGGGAACTCCAGGTTCCAGGAGGGAACCTGGTTCCCTCCTCTGGCTTCCCAGGACCCAAGTACACACAAGTATGCATACATACATGAAGGCAAAACACCCAAATACATCAGTAAAAATAAATCCAAAAGAGCAACAACAAGAATCTTGGTGAGGTTGAGATGACTCCAGTCCCAACTGTGAGACACTCTGTGCCAGCATATGTTTAAAGATGTGTGTCTGTGGCAGAACCAAACTGAGCTTATCACCTACAGGCCACAAATAGGCTCAGTCCAACACTTGGCCAGATCCTGAATGCCACGGGCCATCAACACAGCTCCCTTGTACAGCTCCTGCTTCTCTGGTTCCTTTCAACTCCTCAGACGACTCCTATGATAAATAGAACTAGATGCGTGCAGAAAAAACATTACGAGACCTGTATAACAGCAGCCAAGACAGCCTGGGGCAGAGTACAGAGAACCGTCTTTGCTAACTCCAGACACTTGTCTTCAAGTACTGTGGCAGTCTTTAAGGCGACACATCGCAACGGCTGTCATTTTATTTGTTCAACAAATATTTGGTGCTAGGGATGTGGCTTAGCGATTAAACATGTATCCAGCATGGCCACAGGCCTGAGTTAATCTTCAACAACAACAATATTTACCGAGGCTCTGCCGGGCTTAGGGGGGAGGGAACAGCGAAGTGATGCGTGCAGCAGGTGCTGCGCTGAGAACGCTCGGGCTGGGGAAACTGTCAAAGCAGAAGGCATGGTCTCAGGGCACACTGGCTCTTTTCCTTTACGGGCGTCGCCTCCCCCATCAGTTCCGAGGGGATGAAGGCAAATGAAGAGCAGGGGCTGGAAGACTGGAGCGCCAACAGGTCCCACGAGGGTTAAGAATGGGCTCTAACCGTCCGTCCCTGGTGCTTTCTCTGTTCTTATCATTGTCAGATAAGCAAGAAATAGCAAGGTGTCCTGAGGGAAGTCTAACTAGTAAAGTTGGTCTTTTTAGCCAGCACTGAAAGGAATAAACTAGTATCACTCTAAATGTGAGTACAGAAACGATGGGTTTGGATGTTTTGTTTTATTTAATTGCACTTTGTTGTAGGGATTCATGTGTTTCAGCGGGCTCAAATTTCACCTTTTTTTTTTTTTTTTTTTTTTTTTTTTTTTTTTTAGTATTTTTTCTTTTTTTGCGGGTTTTTTTTTGTTTTTTTTTTTTTTTTTTTTTTTGGTTATTGTCTTTTGAGAATATTACCTATTTAGACAGGTGATATTCAGATATTCTGAAAAGTCTTTTCTCCTCCTATCTAAATCTGCTCAGACAGAAAGGGAAAAATCCCTGTAAAGAGCTCTCACCTAGAGGAGCTGTGTCTGCTTGGACTTTTTAAAGGCGGTGCATCGTTTCCAATAAACCACCTGTCCCACTGACACACCTCTCCCATCCTTTTAACAGATAACAGAGTAGGGAACAAAAGAATTTTGTTGTTGTTTTTGAGACAGGGTTTCTCTGTGTAACCCTGGCTGTCCTGGAACTCAGAGATCTGCCTGCCTCTGCCTCCCCGTTAAAGGCGTGCACCACCACATCGGGGCGAACAGCTGAATCTGTAACTGTGTTGGTGGCACAGAGAGGTCTATGGCAACCTTGATGTCCTGGACCTTATACCCTGAACTTTGGTATATGAATATATATATATATACACACACACACACACACACACATAATATATATGCATGCATACACATACACATCTATATATACATTATAAAGTAGATCTCAGCAAGTTCTCAAAAAGTCAGCATTTCAAAACACAGCCAAAACACAGTAATAATACAAGGTTCAAGGTTTAGACACCTTGTAGAGACTAAAGGAGCTATTTTGAGGGCAGAAGAGTGTCATCGCCATTTTTCCCTCTCTTGGTTTGTTTTTGACACAGGATCTATGTAGCTTTGGCTGACCTGAGAATGCTATGTAGACCAGCACGGACTCAAACTCAGTGAGCTCCCTCTGCCTCTGCCTCCCAAGCACTGGAATTAAAGGTGCGTGCCACCACATTAGACCCAAAATTCTTGACACTTAGGCAGGTGCCTAAAGGAACTGTCAATATGTCCCACTGCTACTTCAACAGTTACACCAACACCCTCTTAAAGTAAAGAGAGAAATGGCTCCCAACACAGGACAGCCAATCGGCCGAAAGCAGCCAATCTCTACACATACCTTTAACGCTTCTATCACAAGGTCCCTTGCTTCAAGTTCTCCTTCAAGAATACTGAACAGTGTCAGGAGTTCAGGCTTGCTGAGTTTTTCCAGATTCATCCTGAAAGTCCTAAACAAAGGCAACAATCTTGATCAGAGCAAAGGCAAAAGATAACGAGGCCCAAGAGCAAAATGTACACTACGATACCCTAAGAGCTGCAATTCAAATCAGTTTCTGATGTTACTCATAAACTGAGCAGGAAGAGAAAATTAAAATACACTATAGATTATTGATCCCATCACCAAGATCAATTACTCATCATCTTTTCCAGGCTGGTTTGCAACCTGGGTCTCAGAAAGGATCAGGAGCTAATTTTGTCTGCTGGAGCCTGAGGTAGAACTGAGTTCCACTGGGGACCGTTTCACTAAAGAACCACCGGACCACCTGTGGGGCATAACCGAGTGCCTCGCCACACCTCTCCAGCAGGTTTCCCTCCTCTTTTAGGTCAGCTTTCTTAGCTTTGTCTCCTTTCTCCCTGCTCACTCTTTTCCTTCGGTGTCTCCACACAGTTATGGCTGGCCTTGAATCTGCACAATCTTTCTGCTTTGGCTTCCCAAGTCCTAGAACTGCAGGGATGCGCTGCCATCACACTTGGCCCTGTTATTACCTTGATATTGGCTCTGGCAGGTGAGATGAAATCTCAGTGCACTCATCTGCCAGCTGAGGATAGCAATACCCCCGCCCCCCCCCCCTTTTCATGTTTATTGCCATTTGCACTTCTTCTTTCGAAAAGTGTCTGTTTCATTACCTCACTTATTGATGAGGTGGTTTTGGCTGTAGTTATCTTTATTTTACACGTATTTACTTCTGTGGGTTGATGGACCATGGCATACGGATGGAGGTCAGAGAACAGTCTGAGGGCTGGGTCTCATTTCACCAGGTAGGTTGCAGTGATCCAGCTCAGGCTGCTGGGCTTGGAAGGACACTCCTTTTTACCCTCTGAGCTCTCTTGCCGGCCCAAGTTCTTGTACTTAAACATTACTCTTCAGCCATGTGCAGTTTTCTCCCGTTGTAGCTGTCTCTTTTAATTGCTTCCTTTGCTGAGCAAACTTTCTAACTTCACGCCATCCCATGAGTTACTGGTTTACTTCCTGAGCTAACCAGAGTCCTCAGAAATGCCTGTAGCTTGCAATGCTTCCTCTATTCGTTTTAGGTCTTACACTGAGGTCTTTGATGCACCCTATTCAACTGACTCTGTACAGGGTCATCTAGTTCGCCTAGCACCATTTGTTGAGGAGGATGTCTTTTCTCCAATGTCTGTCTTTGGCACTAAAGTGGCCACAGCTGTGTGGTTTTATATCCAGGCTCTCTATTCTCTTCCTTGATCCACATGCTAGTAGCTAGTAGCATGCCATTTTTATTACTGTGGCTCTCTAGTGTGACTGAGTCCTACAGGACAGGTATACAGTGTGTTACAGTCTAGCTGGAGGCACTGTTGACAGCTCCGGCATTACTCTTTTCACTCGGGGTTGCCCGGGCTGTTCCAGGTCAATGTAGGTTTTAGGGTTGCTTTTCCTATTTACACACTGAGGAATGTTACTGGAATCTGGATGGGGACTGCAATGACTCTGTACATTGCTTTTAATAAGAAAATTATTTTCATGGTATTAATTCTCCTGACCCATGAATACAGACGATCTTCCCATCTTCCAGAGTCTTCTTCAACTATTCCTCTCTGTTCTCAAGTTGCCACTGTAGAGATCGTTTACTTCCTGGTTAGGTTTATTCCTAGGCATTTTAGTTTGTACTTATTTTTTTGAAACTACCGTGAACAGGACTGCTATGCTGAGTCCCTTCTCATGGTGTTTGCTCTTGGCATAGAGGAAAGACACTGAGTTTTCTATGTTGATTTTGTATTCTACTACTTTGCTCACAGTATTTACTAGCTCTGAGAGGTGTTTTTAGTCAATCTGTGTAGCAAATCCACATTTCTACAAGGATCTGCCAAACTGCAGCACCAGCTCAACCTACTGTTTCAGAACACACGCAGGCAGACCAGCCAAGGGTCTCTGACCAGGGAACACGGTACAGGACTTTGTAGCTTCCAAGGGTGTAAAAACACTACATTCCTTGTATGTTTTATACCCAAACTGGAAACTTGCAGAGCTTTTCTTCAGAGTGAAGGCAACATGGCGAATTCATATACTCTGCAGCACTTTCTCCTTCTTTGATATAAGTCTGAGGGGCACTCAGAGAAGCCACCGACTCCTTCAGGGCTACTGTACTGAAGGGAAGGAGAACATGCAAAGGTGTGTACTTCCATGTGTCATCAAAGCGTGTTGTGGCATGTAGCCTGAAAATTTACCACATAGTAAAATGTCCTTAACGCAACCTCAGCTCCAGCTGCTGACTTTCCAGTTAGTAAATTCCAGCCTCTAGTCCGTCTCACAGCGGGATTAAAAATAATGTGCCATAACTGATTGTGAAAAATAAACAACAAAGCCAACAATCCCAATTAGAAGCTCCCCAGTCACTCCTGCCACAAAGCTGTATAGGGCACAAGAAACACAAGCCTTAGCAGCTAGGTCTGAAGCTTTCTGAGTGACTGGGAGACTTCCTCTTACAGATGAATTTTGGGAACACGGCTTTAGCCATCTTAGCCATCCAGGGCTGTTTCAAGGATTGACTTACTTCCTCTTGTTTTGTTCTGTTTTTTTGAGATAGGGTCTTACTCTGTAGTCCAGGCTAGACTAGCCTTAACTCAGAGCAATTATCTCGTGCTGAGGTTGTAAGTAAAAGCCAATACACCTGGCTCATCAACTTTAAAAACGATTTCACTCATCTACTTCTAATTTTGTGCGGGTGTGTGTGGGGGGGGAGGGCAATGTGTGTGCTGTGGCATTGCTACTGAGGTCAGATGTCAACTTTTACAAGTCAGTTCTTTCCTTTAGCTTGCGTCCCAGGAATTGAACTTCAGTCATCAGGCCTGAGCAGCAAGTAGTTTTATCCAATGAGCCTTCTCACTGGTCCTGATTTATTATTATATTTATTTTATTATATCTTTATGTCTGTATGGACATCTGTGCATGCACACGAGTGCAGGTGCCCACAGAGACCAGAAGAGAGCTTCAAATCCCCTGAAGCCAGAGTTGCAGTTAATTATGAGCCAGAGCCACCCTACATGGATGCTGGGAACCAAACTCAGGTTCTCTTTTGGTTTTGGTTTTTTGATTTTTCAAGACAAGGTTTCTCTGTGTAGCCCTGGATGTCCTGGAACTGGCTCTGTAGACCAGGCTGGCCTCAAACTCACAGATATCCACTTGCTTCTGCCTCTCCAGTGCTACCATTGCCGAGGTTCTTTTTCTTTTTTGAGACAGGGTGTCTCTCTGTAGTTCTGGCTAGCCTTGAACTCAGAGATCTACCTGTCCCTGCCTTGGAGTGCTTGGATTAAAGGCCTGTGCGCCACCACACCAGGCCATGCAACAAGCACCCTTCACCACTGAACTATCTCCCAGCTCCCTGCTTTAGTAGTAACTACTGTTCTTTTGTTTTCTAAAATAATTCCATGGAAGGCATTAGGAAAGCTGCCACTTTGCAGTCATGACCACACCCAGAAGCCATAGCATCAGAAGTGAAACACGGTGAGGACTTAAATATCAGGTGACTCACGCTGTTTCCTTACCATAGGTTCATGCTTTTATTTCCCTCACCAAGATCATAGGTGGAGGGGCTATCCTATCATATTCCTCTCTCTTTCCGAGATGCTAAGTAGAAAAATGAGCCTACGGGAAAGGCAATCCACAAATACCAATGGAGCAGAGTAAATCAACTGGCCGTATAAGAACCAAGTCAAGAAGGCAGAAACAATGCTAAAAATGACTGTTCATATTACTCTCTTTTCTTCAATATTTTTAAAGTTTTAAAACATTTTTGGTTAGAGGTTCGAAACTATGACTAAAAGCAGCAGTGCCATTCCAGTAAAACACAGAGGGTTCCTGAGCAGTGCAAAACGCCAGTCCTGGCTTGGACAGGAACAACTAGATCGCCCGGAGGAACACATACCTGGTGGCTTTGGCCCTTTGTTTCTTAACACTTAAACAGAACAACTAAAGAATTTAGTTCCACTCTATAGAAGCGTAAGGACTGGAGGTAAAGCCCTGTGGTAGACTGTTAGCCTAGCAGGTCCTGAGTTTTAACCATACTACCCAAATTTAACTGTACCCAAATCCAAGTCTCTGACATGCTGTGAAAAACAGACATCTCCATGAAAGAATAAATTTGCTATCATCTTCAGTCACTTAAATCATAAAGCAGTCTAGCCTACACAAGAGAAAAAAATCCGTTCTTTATCCGTGACATGAAGAAAATAGTCTTGGAGCTGCAAAGGTAGCTCATTGGGTAAACTGTTTGCTGTGCAAGCCTATAGACCTGAGTTCAGACGCCCAGCATCCATGGCGGCATGCACCTCCAGTCAGTACTGGAGATGGCAGAGCAGACAGATTCCTACAGCCAATCTAGCCAACCAGGGAACACTAGGTTGCTCTCAGAAAATAAGGTGAAGAGCAATAGAGGAAGACATCGTCTGACTTCTATATATGCATGCAGAAGGGCATGTATTCATCACACACACACACACCACACCACACAGAGATTGTCTACAAATCACTTCTACACAGAAAATTTAACATCTGGAATATTTTATTAATAATAACTCATTTGGCTTTTTGTTTAGAATGCAACACAAACAGCAGACAATAGCAGGGGGAAAGCCACCGCTGTGTAACACAGCCTGGTAACCCTTCTTCATAAATGTTAAAACTTAGCAGTGCTTTCCTCTTCCATACATTTGAATCTACTCTCAATGCACATTATAAAACTTCTTACAATAAGATCTTATCTGAATTACAGAGACAGTCAAACCTCATTAGGATCTGGCGTGGCGTGGCGTGGCGTTCCTGTGGGTGGAGAGGAGGTGACACTGACCTGGTAATTGGTGGCTGCACTTTAGTCGTCAGGCACAAAGTATCAGGGGTTTCCTTCCGTTAAAATGTTAGGAAGTTGACAGATGTTTAAAATGTCAGCATGGTGGATAAGTGTCCAACACTGCAAAACAGGAAGAAATTCACTGTCCTCGTGCCGTTCTATCGCCGATGCGGCGAGCCCCATTCCTGTCACTGGGGCCAGCGCTCTAAGGCCTGATAGTGGTCCTCTGCTGCGCCGGAGGAAAATCACCAGCTCCTCCCAGCTCCTCAGGCTCAAGCTGAGCAACAGACATCCGAAACGCCAGGCTCTGACTTCCCTTTCGAAAGGGTACCTGGGGACGGTGGAAGCTACAGATTTTCTTTTCCTTTTAAGACAGGGGCTTGCTATAGAGCCTAGGTTGGTCTCAAACTCAAAGAATGATCCCCCTGCTTCAGCCTCGGGAGTAATAGAATCTCCTCTGATGTCAAGGACTGACTTCTCAAGGGCACTAGGTATGGACTTTCCCAGAATTTCCAAAAGCCTGCCTGCACGAGACAACGTGGCTCATGCACAATGCCACAATGCCCCAATGCCAAAGTGCCACAATTCCACAGTGCCACAATGGCCCTCTAAACGTAATCACAACCAAAAGTCCCCCCCGCCAAATCTGTGTAAGGAAACGTCTCACCTCACTTTCCTGATGACAGCAAAGAAACACATCAGTCTGTGACCTTTTTCACTGTTTACATGGATGACCAAATACTGCCAACTTCTATTGTCCCCATCATGTTTACACAACACATGCTGGCCTATAAACAAATGCTTTTGCTTATATTTTTCCAATAGTATTAAGCTACAGTTAAAACAACCCCCCCCCCCCCAACATGAAAGAAGAAACGGACAAAAGAAAAAAGGGAGGCCATTGGGAGAAAAGTGGGGCAAGAAAAGGGAGGGTAGGAGGGTTTGGGGCTGGGGACAGGGGTGGGGGAGTCAAACTCTAAACACAATGTGTGTGTGTGTGTGTGTGTGTGTGTGTGTATGTGTGTATGAACACCCGAAAGAATGAAATTTAAAAAACTAAAGGAAAAAAGAAAGGGAATCTTTACCTTTGTTTGATTTATTTCAATTTACCGACTCAACAGTTAAACTCTGAGCCTCCCAATTTAGGGAGGAAGCGTGGGTCATCACACAGTCGGGAGCAGGGGACCAACAGCATGCAGCAGACCACTAAGTAAGGAATTCCAGCAATTTCTGCCAGCATACGGGCAGATTCATACCGACGGGGGTTCTCAGCAAAAGGCTGTGCCTAAGCCACTCACTGGAACCATCACTGCCAAGTTTCAGGCATGCCACGCTACACTGGGCCCCAGACTCCTCTGTTTTCTGAGTGAGCTGTTACTTGTCACTGACACCATCCATTAAGTGACTCTGAAAGACAGGATCGTTCCAACCAGATGCCCAGCTTACTCTTTCCAGCAGAACCCTCCAAGACCCAGTCTTCCCCAGACAACTTCTGTCTGAGGAATGCTACAGTCTATAAATCTGAAAGAAAAACCACTTGTGGACAAGCTGTCTGGATATGTTCTCATTACCAGTTGATGGTGTAGTAAACTTCAGTGTTCTTTTCTCTCTGTGTAGTTCTGGCTGTCCTGGAACTCACTCAGTAGACCAGGCCAACCTCGGACTCATAGAAATCCACCTGCCTCTGCCTCCCCAGTGCTGGGATTAAAGGTGTGTGCCGCCACCACCTGACCAGAGGTTTCTTAATAAAAATACATATAAACATGTACAATAAAAAGCTACATATATTTCAATGCCCTGAAAAATAAGGCCACTTAAAGGCTAAGCAAGAGATGTTTTTACATTATAGTATGTGATTTCAAACAAATTTGCTCAGCCTACCACTGAGCCTGTCACAGGACCCCTTACCCCCTTTTTTCCAGCTGACTGCAGGAGACTGCCAGTCTTCACTAAACGAACTTCTCTTCTCCCCCCCCCCCACCCCGTTTTGTCTTTTGAGGCAGTTTTACTATGCAGCTCTGGCCGGCCCGGCACTCCCTACATAGAACAGGTTAATCTTAAACTCAGACAAATCCACCTGCCTCTGAGCCCTGCGTACATACAGATCTGTCTTTCCCTTTTTGAGACAGGGTTTTGCTGTACAGCCCAGGCTGGCTTTGAATTTATCCATTTGCCCCCCACCTCTCAAGTGCTGAGATTACAGCTGTAATCCACCATGCCATGCCTAACCGTCACAACAATCAGAGGAATTACAGGGATCAGGGAGGGAGTGACTACATGCACACATAGGCCACCCCCCACCCCCTCCTACACACCCCCCCCCCGCAGCACCTAACTGCCTGGCTGATGAGCCTGGGAGATACGCTGCCGGGACCTGCTCAGTTGGCTCAGCCTTCCTGTCTCTGAATAACACCCAAGCCCCACTCACTCTGGCCCTCACTGTGCCTCTCAACAAAGTCCGCGCCCTGGAACTGAACTAAGTCTACGGACAACAGGCAGGGAAAGAAACACCCCAAACAGCTTCTCCAGCCATGTAAGTAAGAGGGCAGGGCAGGGCAGGGCGGGGCACAGGTAAAATGTTTGTGTCTAGTATCTGGGCGTGAGTATCTGGGTGCAAGGGAAGGTTTACTTTCTAAGTAGTTAGTAATGAGGAACATGGAGAAAAAAAAATAACATTTTAGATGAGTCTCAGTTCTTGACAGAGTAACCTCAAAAACATATATACATAACTGCCGTTTTAAAAAAAAATCAACTCAATTCCAGGACAGCCAAGGCTGTTGTTATCCAGAGAAACCCTGTCTTGAAACCAGACCTCCCCCCTTCCCACAAAAAATTCAGTTATTTTACTATGAGATCATCGAATGTAATTAACTTATACTTGGGCTAAAACTGGCTAACAGGCTATTCAGTGAGGTCTTAGAATCAGGAGTTAGATATGACCAGAAATATAAATTGAATTTGTGGGCTGGAGAGATGGCTCAGAGGTTAGTGTACTGGCTGTTCTTCCAAAGGTCCTGAGTTCAATTCCCAGCAACCACATGGTGGCTCACAACCATCTATAATGAGATCTGGTGCCCTCTTCTGGTATGTAGGCATACATGCAGGCAGAGTATTGTATAAATAATAAATAAATCTTTAAAAAAAAATAAATTGAATTTGTTCAATTCTGTAGCCCTACATAAATCTACATAAAACCAAAATATGGGTCAATAACTTAAAACTCAAAAGAGATAATACACAAAATAGACATTTTGACATCTTTCCACTAAATAGTGCATTATCTTAAAAAAAAACTGGTAAATAATGCATCATCTTAACCAGGAATACCTGGACATAGTGGTGCACACCTATTATCCCAGCACTTGTGGTGGGGAGGCAGGTGGATTAAAAAGTTCAAGGCTAGCCCGGACATGAAATGTCTCCTGGATTCAAGGCCTGCTTGGATTATACAAGACCTTTTCTCAAAAAACCATCAAACCCAAACCAGACCAAACCAAATGAAAGAAAACCAGTATGCATGAGATAGTAAGAAAATAAACAGGAGACACTGTGTTTCAAGCTACTAAATGGACATAGGGAGACAGATGCACTGTTACAAAATGAATCCAGAGTCCCCTTCTTAGGCGGTGGAAAGTACTAGATGATCTGGAGAGAGGAAACAACTCACCAATCCCCGGCATGTCTGGGTCAGAGGGGCTGTGTGTCCTTCTGGGGTTACGACAGTAACAGTGCTGCAAATGTCCTGCCCCCTCTTCCCGCTTTTTAGGATCAGGCCAGGGAAGGAGACCATGTCAACACGCTGTAACAAAATGACTTTCTGATCTGTCTTAGAAAGCCGTTTTCAGCCACATGTGCTGGTGCACAGCTGTGAGCCCCTGCATTCGGGAGAACAAGGCACAGGGGGCTTGGGAGAGGCCAGGCGCACTACTGGGAAATACCCAGGGAATCTCTTTTTACTACTACTACTCCTTACAAGAAAATCCTAAAGTCAAGGTACAAAACACAATTTCATTTTATGGAATTTTATAATATTAAGAAACATAAACTGAATTAAAATACTTTTAAATCAAGCAGTGCTCAGCTGAAGATATTACAAGACTATTTACATTCCTATAGCAGGTCAATGGGCTGAGCCATTACCCCAAATTCATGTTGAATCACAGTCCTAGCATTTCAGAATGCGACCGACTCTGAAGGCACACAGAACGTCTCATGTGTCCCTCCCCGCTCCCACACACGCCTTCTCTTTTGGCAGTATTTGGCCACTGAACCCAGGGCCTTGAACTTGTTAGGCAAGTGTTCTACCACCGAGCTAACTCCCAGCCCCAGAGACTTTTAAGAGGCAAGCACGTTAAAATGAGGTCAACACACAGCACGCATAAGAGACTTCTTGGAGTACTCAGCTGTAAGTGAGCTATCGGCCCCCCTCCCCACCAAGGCTCAGGGATCTTCGTGAAAGAGCAGGTGGGAGGGCCGAAGGTGGTGAATGACTCCAAGGAAGCAGTTATCCAGATCCCACGGGACTGATAAACATATGAACTACCAGGGACAATGACAGCACTCCCAAGGACCTGCACAGGACACGATTCCAGCACGGAGAAAGACAACTGGACACAAGGTCCCATTCCTAATCTTTTTAGCCATTTGTAACCGATACCTGACAGGAAAAGGAAAATCAGTTTTCTTTAACCAAGTGTCATGGGCAAGTCCCAATACAAAATGGACTCCATGTTTCTTTTTGTGTTTGGGTATGTGTGTGTGTGATTTTTTTCTCTCTTTCTCATTGGGTTTATGAGAGAATGAACATGAAGTTGCATGGCAGGGAAGTGAGGAAGGGAAATGATATGACCAAAATACTTTGCATAAGTAAAATCTTAATAAAAATTTGCTCAATTCAATCCTTAATCCAGTAAGACTGGAATCCTTATGAGAGAAAATTAGAATGCAGACCAGTCAGGGGAAAGTGCAAGTCCAGAAAGCACCCTGGTCAGAAGACTGATCTAAACTTTTAGCCAACAGTAAGTGAGAAAATACAGTCTTCTTATTTAAACACTAACCATTTACTTTTCATTTGTTTGTCTCCTACGTCCTGGATGGCTTGGAACTTGCTACTATAGTAG